AAAAAATATTATAACCCGCGTATAAAGTACTTCAATTGGGTTGACAAGTGATCATATATGAAAAAAGATTGTGCTACTATATTGAAGTTTTTTTTTTTAATTGAAAAGTCTCCGTCTCAAAAGATTTACCCATATACATATGTGTTTGGCGGCTTTTTCCTTCAAATACGCTTTCATTCAGCATTTCGCAGATGATTTTTCATAATTTGGTAATACAAATCAAACATTTGTGTTGACATTTTAACATCATGAGACCTGCTGGAATCTGAGCAACAAAAGCAAGCACCTCTGATAACTTTTTCGTCTGCCGGTTTTAGAACTGGTTCGGAACTATGGACTTTAGGACTAGTTTGGAACTATCGATAAAGGGATACAGCGGGCGGCAATCGACACTCCGTAGGACATCGCAATGTTAAATTCGCCAGTTGGTAGCATACAAAAGAGTATTAACGCGCACTAGTCATGGTTTAAATTCTCTAGTACAGAACCAGTTCGGCACTAGTGCGTTTCCCGACAGGGACAGTTTGATGTTTTGGCTTATGAAAAAAGCACGCCATCACAATTTTAAGTAATTATTTTAGACAATACAAAATATGAAGCATATATTCTTTCAAAAATCTAAGAATACTCGTCAATGTTTGTCTAAAACCCTTCCAAATTTTAAATAAGAATCCACTGAATATTTGAATTGAAGAAAGGCAAACAGTTTTCAAAAGTGCTGGGATAGGCAATAAAATATCAAATGAAAAAAATAAGGCTTATCTAAGTTACTGGAGAAACAGTTTAGGGATTTGGAAGACGTGAATTTTTCAAAACGATATTGGACGAAGAAACGGCTACTTTTGATATCGAAAAATTTTAAATTGACAATCAATTAGAAGTATGTAACACGCAACGCCTGGGTTCAAACCCTGGTCAAAGCAACATCGCAAAAAATATAGAAAAAAAGTTTTTTCTTAACAGCGGTCGTCCCTCGGCAGGCAATGGCAAACCTCCGACTGTATTTCTGCCATGAAAAAACAGCTTCTCATAAAAATACAATCGCCGTTCGGAGTCGGCGTAAAACTGTAGGTCCCTCCGCTTTGTGTGACAACATCAAGGTGCACGCCACAAGTTGGAGGAGAAGCTCGGCCAAACACTAACATATATGTAAGCGCCAATTTATTATTATTATTAATTGTTGTGAGACTGATTGTGCACTTAAAATTTAAAAATAAAAATTCAATATGTCTTTCTGATAAAGTTTCCGAGCAGTTGTTTCTTTATGCCCTTTCAACGAAAAACATGCCATATGTGTTAAAATTACATTTACATTTTTATTGGAATGTTGCCACAGAAAATTTTAGTTCACTTTAACGAACGAACTAAATCATTAAACACGAGAATTTGGCTGCAATGGTTACAGTGACGGTCAATTTAAAATTTGCTCCATAACATGCAATGCAAACCATATGCACCAGATTATGATTATCCTTATACTTATTTCTTAGGTTATGTTTTTACACTACAAAGAAAAGAAACACGCAGCGGTATTTCAAGAATCTGTTGCACCAATGCCCCAGTAGAAACCTTATGCATACAACATCGATTTCGGTGGCATACAAAGATACACATAATTATTGCTTGCAAAGGTACTAATTTTGATACGATATTCATATAGTTCCATATGTAAATTCTGCTTTTCTGATACATTTTAATATATGGCACATACGAGTACAAACAAAGCGGTAGCATTTTAAATTCGGGTTAATTTTTTTTACTATGGATATGTTTTCGAGATATTTGCAATTTACCGTTATTCAGCTTAAAGCAAAAAATGGTTCCTTTTAATCACGTATGTATATCTTACGAGTCAATTTAAAAATCTTAATATAAAATACGGCAAATGAAATTTTCCATAAACCGTGCATACATCACTTTCCGATAGGGCTTATAGTTTTTGACAAATTAATTAATCATTCAATTTTTTTTTATTTTTGAATGAAAAATTGAAAAAAAAATCAAACTTTAACAGAAAAAAATAAAAAAAACAGTTCTGTGCCAAATTTTTACTGATGAAGAAAATCGATGGACAAATACGAAATAATGAGTGGTCAAATGAAAATGCGCAAAGATTTTTTGTATGAAATATAAGTAGAAAACCGTGTTACTTAGGTGTACGCGGCGTATGAGTAACATTCTTTCATGCTCTTCATAAAAATAATCTTGCGCCTTTTTATTTGACCATTCATTATTTCGTATTTATCCACCGATTTCCTTCATCAGTAACTTGATTTTTTTTTTAAACAGAACAGGCTTTATTACAAACGCAAAAATTTGGCATAGAACTGTTTTTTTTTTAAGTTTTCTTCTGTTAAAGTTTGATTTTTTTTAATTTTTTCATTAAAAAATAAAAAAGCTGGAATGATTAATTAATTTGTCAGAAACTATAAGCCCTATCGAAAAGTGATGTATATACGGTTTATGGAGAATTTCATTGCCTTTCATTTATATTAAGATTTTTAAATTGGTTCGTAAGATATACGTGATTAAAAGGAACCAATTTTTGCTTTAAGCTGAATAACGGTAAACTGCAAATATCTCGAAAATGTATCCATAGCAAAAAAAATTAACCCGAATTTCGGATTCACCGAGCAATTCTACATAGGATTCCCCATCGCTGGAGCATCAGATTGTATGGGAAATAATACTCACCCCTGTAAATAGTGTAGAAGTTCTACATACATAAGGATATTCTTTGGCTAAAGTATGTACCAGCTCATTTAAAGAAATATAAAATGCAAAGGGTACAAAAAATAAAGCCTTTATTTCAATTCCACTGGAAACAAAAAATATTTTTCTCTAATAAAAACAACAGATTTCACAATACACATGTTTCGGTGTGCATGCAGGTATATAATGTATGTATTAGTGTCTAACTGTGTGTATGTAGGTAGGTGTGTGAGTGTGCGTTCAGGCGCTAGAGTATAAAGGTGTTCATGTGCGTAATGTTTTTTTTTTTTTGAAATCTTATATTGTAGACTTCGATGTGAAAATAAAGCGATCGCAATTCACTTTCACATCGGTCTACCCTGTTTTCACCACTGCTACTTTCACGTTCACGTCCACGATCACTTGCTCTTGGCTCTGTACTCCCAGCACTTCCGGCATTACCACGATCAACACCACCTTAACCACCGCATTTGCTATACGTTACGCATCGCACGTGTACGCCTCAGTCGGCATTATCCAGAATGGCATCAATCAGCGCCACCACCTTCTGCCGGAAGCGACGATTCTGTTTCCCGGACATTTCCTTCAGAAATGGATGCAAGCTGTTGAGAAATGATTGATCAGCATCAGGTGAGGAGGGCATTAAACATTGGCGATGATGTTCATTTTTACTTTTAATCCACTCGGCAAACTCCGTCAGATCGACGGCAGATGCACTACGCGGAGTTGGTTGCGAATCCGCTGCTGCGGCAAAAGCACTATTGTTTGCCGCATTACCGCTGCCACCTGTAGCACCACCGACGATGGCACAAGCATTCATGCTGGGAACGGCTGTTGCTATACATCGTCCATGCTCTGGCGTTGTTGTACCCTGTTCCGTTTTGATGGCGGTCGGTGCCGGAATTACGACTGGTACTGGTATGGCGCACGGGGCCGCCATTGGCGGATGCACAGTTATGCGATGCTGCTGTGTTGTAGCTCCTTCATGCAGCGAAACCACAACATCTTCCTCGGCTATTGCCACCTCTGTGGCATTGGAATCTTTGGTGTCATCACTGCTGACTATAGGTAATGGTATGTGATTGATGCGCGTCATGGGCGGTTGCGGCGTCATTTTGCGTTGCGCAATTATACTTGACGAAGAACTGCCGTTCTTTAGGCGCGTCTTTGTGTAAGGAATCAAGAATTGCAGATACTTAGATAGGTAATATTTACGCTTGCCTCTACCAGTACTAGTGCGTGACAACTTCAACGATCGGAGGAAACTACTCCTTATTGTGCGCCATCTTTCGCGGCAATTTCGCACTGCAAGTAAAAAAGAATTGCATATGAAACTGTTTTCATTTAATTGACACTTGTTTTTCAAATGTAAATACATAACTAGTATGTGATAACTCAAAAGATCGGATGATTTTGGAACCAAACGTGTTTTTTTTTACAAAAGGTATTTGTTGAGGAGTAGGCAAATGTTAGTTGTTGCATAAATTCTTAGATGTTTGCATATCCAGCACATTTATAATATGGGTGTGATAAAATTTCTGTTGGCTGCTGTAGAACCATCGAAATACTGCAACGATAACTTTCCTAACACAAAACTCCACCAGTCCAGAGTTTCATTTTAAATCGCCCAGAGAGAAACCCCCAGAATGATAAAGGGACGAAGCGGAGTTTGGAAAATATATACCACAATTATGATTCATGTATGTACATAAGAGTGGTCCAAAAATGCATGCGAAAAAGTAAAGTGGGAATTTTTATGCCCTCACCCCCTTGGATTGTTCTATACCGAAAAAATATACCCCTATTTTTTATTTTGAAATCAAAATATATTTAGAGATCGCTCAAAGCGTTCAAAGTTTTCCATGTATTTTATATGAAAAAAAAACAATTTTCGTAGAAATGGTATAGAAATCTTGAAAATCAATATTTTTTTCCATTCCCAATAATATTACCCAATTATTTATTTAACCATTCCTTTATAGTAACTATATTTTATAGGTCCGCCAAAACCCTCAGAAAATGTCAGAAAATGCAATAAAGAAAAAAATAAAAAAAATTGGTATTAAAAAATGGTGAAATAAACAATTGGGTATTGTTATTGGGAGTCTCCTGAAGAGAACCACAGTTTTCTGATCGTAAAATATTGATTTTCAAGAATTCCACACCATTTCTACGAAAACTTGTTTTTCCCCATATAAAAAGCATGGAAAACTTTGAGCGCTTTGATTTTGATTTCAAAAATAAAAAATAAAAAATAGAGGTATATTTCTTTCGATATAGAATAATCCTAGGGGGTGAGAGCATTAAAATTCCGACTTTCTTGTTTTGGACCACCCTAATGTACATACATAATAAAGGAAAGTTCTCTGTAGTTATGTTTTATGAAAATACACGTCTAATAAAATATTTACCTACACCAAATAATAATATGTGAAGTATATGTATGTATTGCTCAACGACATTTACATATATAGGAGAGGTTGACTTTAACATCACAAAATTGTTGTCTGGTCACGGCTGAATCCAGCTCTACCTTCCGGAACTTAGCGCCCAAGATAGTCGAAACATAACGAAACTAGGAAGCTGTTCGTACCATAGGGCCTAGAGATATACGCCGCCGAGCCACGCCGCCGTCGTTTTTTTGTCATTCCTCACGCGCCGCCGCCGAGTTACGAAAATATCGGCGCGGCGGCGGCGGCGTTCGGCGCCTAAAGAATTTTGTACAAAATTTTCATGGTGTATGAACATTGAAATACGCCGTTTGAAGGAACTAAATACCACTCGTATAAAAATACAATTTTACGAAATGAAAATTACATTTTTAAAGAAGATTTTTTTTCATAATTTGGGCCACTGGAGAAGAATATGATCTCCTTTATTTTTCCAAAAAGAGTGTAACTCAGAAAAAACATAGGTAACATATTTTTCGATCGAAAACGTTTATTACAGTTAAATTAGGGTTCCACCCTACTGTTAATCTAACGATTTTTTCCGCAGTCAATTCTTTTCAATACTCCAACAATACTACTTTCTTATAAACATACTACAACAAGAAAGTTATAACCAGGGAACGGATTTTTAGGACCTAAAAACCTATAAAAAAAGGCAAAATAAAATAGCGAAAAAGGAAGGAAAAGGCACTAGGTATTGCAAAAAAAGCAAAATAAGGCACTAAAAAAAGACAGAAAATACGAAGAACAATCAAAAAATACATTTATTTTAGAAATGTTTATATTACAAGTAAAAAGAGAAAATCTATGAACTAGTTTCATTATAGGAAAAATTTGTACTTTGAATCTTTGACTATTTTATCCTTTCGAGTTTCTAACTCATAAAACTTTAATCTGTATAGTTGTAGTAACATTGAACCACAAGATGCATTTTGAAGTTTTCTGGCAGCATTTTCATTCGATTTTCGCGAAGAAAAGCCTTGAATGTACTAAATGTGCGCTCGACGTAAGTTGATACAAGTGGAGCCCAATTTAAGTATGGAACGTTTGAAACGTTCATATTATCGGGAATAAGGGGCGTTTTCCTCGTCCTTTACAATTTTATCCACACCCCTTATTGTCTCCAAGCCTACGTTAGCTGAGAAAACGGCTTTGAATTTTTCGAACACCAATTTGGCAAGAGGTCCCTGCGCCTCTATAAGCCGCATGGCATGTGTATATTTTTTAATCTTAAAAAAAAAAAATTAAATGCTATAATCACTTTTTTAAAGGTAGAAAAGGCAAAAAAAAGGCAAATATCTTAAAAAAGGCAACATTTAATGTGTGTATATGGAATCAGGGAAAGCTAAATCGTGGACATTCTTGATCGAAAATACTCTATCTCTTTAGCAGAAAAAAAGGCAATTTCCATAAAATCCGTTCCCTGGTTATAACACATCAAAAACTTTAATGCCAATATCCTAGAAAGCAGTTTAACAGAAGCTGCTTCATTGCATCTAACTCCTCAATTATTAGAGATAGAAGAAAGACAAGTTGATTTTCGTGTGTATTTTTTATATTTTAAACAGACTTTCAATAAAAAGCAAACACTTTTTTTTGCTAAATTTTACATTCGTAAGTTATTTTACTCTAGGGTCCCACATACGTATACAAGTAATAGGTGGCTGTGTGAAAATTATGTTGGCATTCCTTAGTGGTAGTCAAATCCCAGAAATGTTTTGCTCCTTCGCATCGCAATGTTTTCTACACAGGGTTAAAGTTCCTCCTTTTTGGTAACAATTAGTATTTTTCATTACATTCGGTTCTCCTTATAAAAATTTGGAGCTTAATATTTAAGTGGAAATTTAACCCATCTATAAGCCATTTTTTTAAACAGTGGGTCAAAAAGGGCCGTTCTGTTTCGAGTTGATTGGTTAAACTTTTGGGAAAGAGTAGATCAACCTTAATGCCTAATGCTGACGAGATGACATAATAAGATTAGTAGCCTCATGGCTCTTTGGAATCTACCTTAAGGGCAGTAGCGCCGGCGTTTCCAGACGCGCCGGCGTCGCCGCTGATTCTTTTTGAAGTTGACCACGTCGCCGCCGCAAAGCCTGTCGGCGTAAACCTCTAATAGGATCAGCATAAAAGCGAAGCTAATAGCAAATGAGCGTTTGGGTTTGGTTAAAAGAAAAACTTTACTGGCTGTTATATATTAGACAAGATACTGTGAATAGAGCCAACAACTCAATTCCACCTCCCGACGAACTACTTGACGTAGTTCCGGGGGACAGCACGAAACGGAGTTGCCTCTATCCCACGATATCTGAATTTTGTATGCCATTGAAACTAATACGGCTAAGTAAATTGGCGTTGATCAATACTACCAACTCCGTCAGAATTGGGAAGTATGTAACTCTTCAAGTCATTTGATATCAAATGGTAATACAGGCAGGGCGACACTGTCGCGTAATTTAAGTATAATAGATTGGCGCTTACACACTATGTTAGTGTTTGGCCGAGCTTCTCCTTCGAACGGTGATTGTATTTTTATGAGAAGCTTTTTCATGGCAGAAATGCACTTGGAGGTTTTCCATTGCATGCCGAGGGGCGACCGCAAACAAACACTTTTTTTTTTGATGTTGCGTTGAACCGGGCTTGAATTCAGACGCTGCAGAATGGTAGCGCGCACTGGTAACCACTACACCACAGCTCAACGTTAAATCGTCTGCGGCATTCGTCATCGCCAATGCGCAAAGGCCTGTAAATATTTCGCAGAATCTCTCCCTCGAAAACTTCAGGAGCCCTTTTAAGTAGACGTTTTCAGTGTCCATGCCTCCACGCATGTACGACGAGAGAGGACTTTATTCTCAACTTCTTACTTAGTCCAAAGTAGCTCTTGCTGGCAAGAGTGATTCTCCCTTGAATTTCAAGGCTGACATATTTATTGGTGTTAATGCTGGTTCCCAAATAAGCGACGTCGTCTACATTTTCAAACTTATAACTGTCAACAGTGATGTGCTTACCAAGACGCTTAGACTCTGACTGTTTGTGTGTTGACTTCGTGCCAGAATAAGCAAAGTCTTTCAAACTACATACATATCTTGCCTACTGGCTTTCAATTGTCTTACGAAAAACTTTCAACGATCTTAGCCAGCGTGGCCTTGTTAGACCCACTTGCATTACTTCTTTTTCATTGTTTTCATTTATGAGTTTCGGGGGGTGAAATAACACAAACGGCAATAACGCAAAATTTGCTTTATTTCCTTTTTAAATTGGAACTAATACCAAAATCCAAGTTTTGCTTTATTTCCCATTGCTTATTTATACTATTTGTAAAAAAACAGTTTACTGACAGAAGCAAAAAGAACTTTGTTTATTCCAAAAATACAATTAAACCAAGGCACATTGGACAGGTAGTATAGCAGCTGATTTGATTTTTTTGTTTTCAAATTATTTGTTCTCGAAAATGTCAAATATTTTTAATTTCTTCTCACAAAAATTCTAAATTGTTAAAGTCTATTTGCATGTAAAACCTTTTTCCATACAAAACCAGCGAATGAATAGCTGCTTTTGGAACGCTCGCCCAACTCGGCAGCACAACCGCTGATTACTGGGCCTGGCACAGGATGGATTAATTCTTCGAGAAGCAAACCAATTTACTAAGAAAGAAAGTTGCAACAATTTTAATTTTTTCAATTTAAATTTGGTATCTTTTTGTATTTCACATGACACGCTTTGATGTAGAAGAAAAAATTAGAACAGTTTTTGACACTTTCGATACCAGAAGCAACAACAAAATACAGGCAAATGTTGTTTTTGCTCAAATGCTCTCAACCTGTTTGATAGGCCTTGAATTAAACAAAAAATGTGATATAATTCATATGAAGAAAGTAATATTCACAAAATATTTTTACTTATGAAAAGTCTAACAAAATATAGGGAAAGCATCGTCTTCAATAACTGCTCGGCATATTGGACATAGCGCTTTTGTATGAATTTTATCTGCATGCTTTTTACTATGTTAAAAACATTGCTGGAAAACCTTAAAATGTTTACAGGGAACGATGTCGCATTAAACAGATGAAGTAATAAAACTGCTTTCTCGCTTTATTTTCTGACATTCGGCTGCCTTATAGTCCCATTTTATAGGCAAATTTTCAAATAAGGCAGTGGCACCTGGTAAATTTCACTATGGGTGGGATGCATGCAGACATTGAAAAGCAGTTTCAGAAGTGAACTGGTTTTATTTCATTACTAGCAGACCCGGCGAACTTCGTCCCGTTTTTGGTCCAACATTTTCACCAACAATTCACGTTTACGATTTTCATTGGCACATTAGTCTGCTAAGATTAAGGTTTGGTGGTCATTTGTCGCTTTAAATAACCTAAGGAAAGTGTTATATCCGTTCTTGAAATTCTCCAGTTGTGCGGCATTTCATAGCACGGTTATTAGCAAAGCGAAATAAATTTTTTCCTCTTCACTCCCTGGCGGCAACAATGACCCGGTTCTATAGTGAATGTCCTAGAAGCTTTACAGTATAGTAGGTGGTTCAGCCGCTCTCGAGCCTTGCGAAAACTAACAAACGGCTTTCTAAATATATATTACTTGAGATATATTATATATTATAATTATATTTCAGTATCCGTTGTTTCTGATTGGCGCAAAAAAATCTTGCCTAGTGACGAATTCGCCCCTTGATATGGTCGTTACTTAAAGCTATTTATATTCGAAATTGCATGAAAATTGGAAAACAGGAATCTATAAGCTTATCCAGGCAAAAAGCTACCTACGCACCGAATTTTAAGCCAATCGAACCGTAAATACGATTTTTTCGAATAGATCAGTCTCTGGTCTACTTCTCGGAAAAAATTTACCATATATCCTAATATATGCTAAAAAAACTACTTATGTACCGAATTTTAAGCAAATCGGACCATAAATACGATTTTTTGGAATAGATCGGTCCCTGGTCCACTTCTCGGAAAAAATTTATCACATATGCTACTACATGCTAAAAAGCTACCTGCGCACCGAGTTTTAAGCCAATCGGACCGTAAATACGATTTTTTCGAATAGATCAGTCTCTGGTCTACTTCTCGGAAAAAATTTACCATATATCCTAATATATGCTAAAAAAACTACTTATGTACCGAATTTTAAGCAAATCGGACCATAAATACGATTTTTTCGAATAGACCGGTCCCTGGTCCACCTACCCGAAAAAAAGAAAAAATTTAGTCTAAAACATGGTGGTTACCGAAAGCTATTTGTATACAAAATTTCATGAAAATCGGACCAGCCGTTCGCGAGATTACCTGTTACAAAAAAAAGGGACTTCTCTTTATATAATTAGTATAGATTTTTCTTTTTTCTAAACGGTTATAATGCCACTAGTGCATAATTGCGAAAGGAGGGGATGGGGGTGCGGGACGCGAGCGCGAGCGCGACGACGAACGCGGCGCGGCGCGGGGTGGCGCAGGCGGCGCGCGAACGCGGACCGCCGCGACGCTGGGCACTTTCAAAATTGTATATTTACAAATCCATTTAACTTGTTCATGTACTACTTTTTGTCAAATGTAACTGGGTGACTACCTACATATGTGCACTATTTTGCTTTATTACTCAAATTGTTAAGTTTAAAAGTTGGTCTTATTGCTCAACGAGAAATGAACTAAAGCAAATTTGTGTTGTTTCACATTCAATTGGGAAATAACACAAATTTGCGTTATTGCCGTTTGTGTTATTTCACCCCCCAATGGAGTTTCTAGTCTTTTTTTGCTACTTCCCCCAAGGATCTAGTCAAGACTCCGTGAGTTTTTACCGCCGTTATTTCGGCTTACTCCATTGATAGTTAGCGTTTGATTAACCACATTTTTCCACCAAATTTCCCCTTTCACAGTAACGGAGTCCTCCTCACTAATCGGTGAGGTAGCCAGCCGGTGAGTAGTATACCGATCTTGTGGGCGGCTTTAGATAGATGTAGTCTGTTGCCATTTCCACGGGTCAACAAATTGGCCTTGTGTATATCACCAGAGAGCTACCAGATTACTTCTGAAAGTCACAAGAAATTTCGATGTTTGGTCTGTTGGTATCTCGGTTTGTTGCAAGTTCAGAAGAGAAACACGCATTTGAACGCCTGCACTAAAGCGTAACAAGGTATTTGTATTGGTTACTGCAATTGTTGTATGTGTTTTGGTTGTGGACTTTTACAATTCGAGAGGATACAGAAACACCAAAAACTTGTATTTGATACGATACACATGTCGAACTTTAAATCATCAGGGAAATTTCGTAAACTTTATACTAAATACTCCCAAATATTATGTACATATATCCCGACGGGCACATACATATGTATGTATATACATTAGACCGAGTCGGTCGCTATATAAAAAAAAAATTGTAATTGGACCACTAGTTTGAAAGCTTACTTTGAGAGGATTTATGCGCCGTAAACACTTCTATCTTTGGCACGCTCCAAAGCCAGCCAAAAATGATTTTCTTCTTACCTCTTTTTATTTATGATCAGATTTTAAGATGTGGGAGCTAAGCACCTTTTCAGGAATACGGAGAAATGCATCACTTAATATAAAGTATACATTTACGGTACTAGAATTAAATTTGGATGGGTAGAAGTTGTGAGTTAACTGGACAAAGAAGGTAACTGAGGGCAATATGATCTTATATATGAAAGTATATAGTAGTAGGTACTTAACAATATCTTTTTAACGATATACTATACGTATGGCGCATATAACAATTCAAAATTGCCTTACAAATAAATAAAAGCTAAGTTATGAAGAAAACTCGACTTTGGCTGTTTTTCGGACGTATCAGGAACGGAAAATTTTATGACGCTTTCCAAGTAACCTTTCGAACCAGTTGGGATGATTACAAACTTTTTCTCCGTGACCCTGTCTAATAAGCACATATCCATGTGCATATGTACATGTGTATACACCCAGCTAGCAAAATTGCCAGAAATCTGTTAGATATCCGTCAGACTCGGCGGCAAAAACGTCTGAAATCTTTATGATTTCTGGCCGATATCGATCAGAGAAGCATATGGAGAGGTTGACAGGAAGTCTAACCGACACTTCGTGGGAAATTCTGATTTAATTGCCGACGATTCTGAAGGATATCTTATAGATGTCTGACCAGAAAATAACGGGAAATAAGAATAATAAGACGTGTCTGTCCGAAATCGGATAACGAAACAAATAAAATTCTCCAGAAACTTTGCCGAGAAATCTGTACGAAACCTGTAAGACTTGTCTAAATAATAATAATAATAGATTGGCGCTTACACATATGTTAGTGTTTGGCCGAGCTTCTCCTCCATCTTGTGGCGTGCGCCTTGATATTGTCACACAAAGCGGAGGGACCTACAGTTTTACGCCGACTCCGAACGGCGATTGTATTTTTATGAGAAGCTGTTTTTCATGGCAGAAATACACTCGGAGGTTTGCCATTGCCTGCCGAGGGACGACCGCTGTTAAGAAAAAACCTTTTTCTAAATTTTTTGCGATGTTGCTTTGACCAGGGCTTGAACCCAGGTGCTGGCGAGTGAAAGCGCGCACTGCTTACCACTACACCACAGCGGCCGACTTGTCTAAATAGTCAACTTTTGTGCGACTTGTCTGATATCAGAAATTGTCTAGCAGATGTGCTAGCTGGGTACATTCATCCATATGTATGAATACATATATGCATGTTCAGAATGTGCAAGCACTTCTAATTTTGAGCTTACTTTGCACTTAGCACGAAAAAGGGAGATAGGTACTCAGAACTTTTTCTTACTTCAAACTAGTGCTTAGCGCAATTCTGTTCTTGGATGACTTAAAGTTCGCACTTTTAATAGCAAATGCTCCACCGAATATCGGAAAACGCATTTCGTAGAGCAAACAAAGTCGTAGCGGCGCTGGCTGCAAGCGCCACAAAAACTAAAATAAAGCAAAGCATATTGATAAAACTCTATGCACAAACATTGTAATCGCAAACAACGCAATACGAGCCCAAAGTGTCTGAAAATGGCATAGAATTGCATCAACAGCAACCAGCGAGAGAGACTAAGCGAGAGCGATTGTGAAAACCACACAAGATAATTGAAGTGTATGCGAGTGCGGTTGAAGGTATGGTGTGACAAAAGCTCTGAGCACTGAAAATGCAATATACATACTATGTATGTAGGTATGTGCATAGAGGAGGCAAGCGAGCAAGCAAAGCTTCTGCTGCAATTGCAGCTGCCTTGCTGCGATGCCGTTGTCGTGCTGATGTATTAAAGTACTGCCTTGCGTCGCGTTTCGTCTCATCCTTGTGCGCCGCGCCATGTCGCACATGCAAATGCAGCAAAACACGGCAACAAGTAAACAAACCGATTGGCTGGCGGCTGACGAAGCGACGTGGTGCGACGCCCCACTCGAAGGCACCTACACAAGCTCGCGCTATCGAAAAGCCACATTGTAAGAAGTTGGGGGCGCAGCAGTGGGTATGGTAACTGAGCGTATTGAGGGCGCTGCCAGTGCCAACTGACCAACATATTCTACAAGCGAACGACAATCGTAGAGCTGCGTACGACGTACGATATATGTGCATACGATGACGGGTGAGGGGAGCGCAGCGTTGGCGAGGTGTAGGGTGTGGGGTGAGAGCGACTGGCGAGCGTTGAAGTGCAGTGTAGTACATGCATTGTGAATGCGAATGCAAAAAACTTTGAAGAACGAACGGCACGCAATTCTACGCTGCGCTCTATTGTGAGCTGGTAACTTGCCATAGTGCTAGTAAATGCGAAAGCTCAACCGCATGAACACACACAAATGGGAAAACAACACCAGAAACAGTAAGAAAAATTGTGCATTGACAACAATAGCAAATTGTAAACGCTAAATATTATAATAGCAATAGTGCATACACACAGTTGCAACAACAATGCCAGCACTAACAACAATTATGGTTATTAGCAATAAAGACGAAATGGGAGCAGCTGCGACGGCGCCAGCCAGCAGGCAAACAATGCTTTTCGCTTACATACCAGTGTCTTTCGTCTCATTGGCGACCTCCTGCCAGGCCTTCTGGGTTTCGTCCTTCTTGCTGTAAGCTGGTAGCGTCGAGTTCCAAAGGCACGGATGGTTTTCGACCAATTGCACAAAGCGCACATTCAAGACAGGATCATCCTTGCGCGCCATGCGGACAGCGGGCGGCGCAGCAGTTGCGCGTCGCTGACGACCAGACCGACGACGAGAGTGTTGACGACGTTTGATGATGATGACACCGTCCGCCAAATGCACAGTGGCTGCTAGCAATCGTAATGCTGTGTCTGTCGCACCTGTTATCGTATTACCACCACCGCGCTATATAATATACAATAAATTGAAGCCACTCAGACGGCTGCCCTCGTTCGCGGTTTAGGCGCAGAGTGTGATGCGACGCGGCGTATATGTATTTTGAGTGAGTCGATATGTGTATATATGCGAATGTGTGTATGTGTGTATGTGCTTTTGTATTTTGTATGCGACGCGAATTAAATAGTGAACGACGGTGCAGCAAAATCAACTTGACTGAACGAGCGTTAAGCGAAAACTGAAAAAGCTGCATTGACGACGGCGGCGCCCCAACAACGACGGCTACTACTGCAATGGCAAATGGCAACAGCAAAAGCAACGGCAACGGCGGCACATTTCAGCCAGCACGAAGAACGCGCGCCGTGAGCCAAAACAGTAGCACAGTGTGCTCGTTTCTTCACAAGTTAAACTAAAAATTGTAACTGCTAAATAAAAAACTATCAAGGCCAATGTAATA